GAGGAATGAAATGTAGCCGATATAAAGGTAGTCATCGGTTGTATTTTGGTAGTAGCCATAATAACAGCTGTTAGTTTTCATCTTGTGTGTGAGTGATCATTGCAGATCATGGTCCCTGTGTGAACTGCTCCATTACTTATACAGAGATATGACAGCTGTGTGAAATACAGTCGCCAAATTTAACAGGTTCATATTTGAACTCAAACTTACGGCTGGCTTAAAAAGGGACTGGTGTGAGTGTCCAAGCTGATAGAACAGAGACAAATAGGCATTTAAAAAAAAAAAAGTTTATTGGTTTTTCAATAAAATAAAAAATAATTTTAGACCCATGAAACTATTTAGCTAAAAATATGACCAAGCACCATTTAAAACACATTGAACTCAGGTGCAGGAAAAATAAAGGGTGATCAGGCCCTTAAGACGCAAAGAAGATAAAGTAAGACATGTGTCACGCCTGGCGTAGCAGACGTGTGGAATGGAGATAAAGACCCAAGATGCGACTGCTAAGTAGTGAATGAGCTTTATTAACAAAAAGGTGAAATACAGCACAACAGGAAGGAGGGGGGGGGGCGAGGAACAGAACAGAAAATACTCTAAACTGGGAAAACTAAAACTTAACACAAAGCCAGAACACGAACGAGGGTACCTTGCAGGGAGAATCACCAGGAAGACGGAGGAACAAACACGGAATAACGCAGACGAACCAGCAACTATTAAGACAGAAGACACGACTAAAATACACTCAGAGGACACAGGGAGATTACACACAGCTGGGAGTTATTAACGTGACGAGACAAGGGAGGCAAACTGAAAACACTCACATAAGACGCAGACCTTCACAATAAAACAGGAAACAAACCACAGAATAATAGTAACATAAACATGGACTCTGGATCATGACAACATGACTGTTCAAACTATCCAAGATGCAACAGAGTGGTACAAACAAATAGCTGAATTGCAAAATACAAAATTTACCAACACTGTTACCAAATGTCTTGATGCATGCTCAATCATCCAGGTAAGGAAATCCCAAAAGTTGTTTCTGTTCATGTGGGAGAAACGTTTCGTCACTCATCCAAGTGAGTGACCGTTGACCACTGATCAATGGCCGTGAGTACCATTCACAGAGTTGGGGAATGGCTGCAATCACAGCATTGTAAGATGGTGAAAGATATACTCTTAGGCCCCCTCCTCGATTCAGAGATGGTCTTTCTCTTTTCTTGATTCCCCGCCAGCGTTCCTCCCTCTCCAGGATGTGAACATCCTCATTGAAAGAGTGTCCACTGACCTGTAGGTGTGAATAGACATCTAAACGCTACGTCCAGATGAACAGAATCAGGTTTTTGGGA